GAGAGGGGGAATCAAGTGTGGTAGGCGAATGAAGAGATGGAATGGACGAAAAGTGCATGTCCGATGATCGATAATACGTACGGGTCAGACAATGACACTGGAGGGAGAGGTGACTAGACAGACTGTTGGGGTGGAACGTGTGGAGGGTGGCAAACAGATTCAACAGCGACAGCAAAACTGTCTACCATCAAAGTTGAGTGCCGGTGGCGGGGCTCAATCCTCGGACCACAGGGTCCAAAGCCCACCGATAAAAGTGAGTCAATCTTTACCAAAGTCACTTCATTGACGTATTAGGACCGCACAACGCACCGCTATTCAAATCCGATAATGAATAATTACCCAAATATATGCCGGATTAAACCCAATTGTTCTCCTTGGATTGCATGCTCTACCAATTGCGTCCTCGTTCCAATCAAGCTGCTGGAAATGCTCCAAATCGCACCAATTCAGATGTGCTATTCCCAAGGAATATGGTGTCCCTTTTCACTGAAGGCTTGTCTAGTGACTGTTGTTCGGTACCGTCTGGTTGATACTGTGGGAACCACTGGTGACCAGAATAGTGAATCATCTGGAGAGGTGGAATAAAAGCACATGGTTCCACACTAATACAATTCCCCTGTTGGGAGCAAGACCAAATAGACAGGCAGGGATGAACCATGTGGACGGTCTAACGCCGTGTGTAAACACTTTGGTGAACGTTTTAACACACTCCCGATCGAAATCGGAGAATAATAGAATTAGTCCTCGCTAAAGACCAACGCTACTTGTTTATATAAGCTCATGTTTGTGGTCTTTTGCTTTACTTTACTGCAGCTGGCTCCTTGGAAAGGATAAGCCGGCTTCAGACATGATCATTATCATGAAGTTCCTTGAGAGTTTGGTACGAGAGAAGTTCCCAGCGTCACTCGGTATATTTTATTTTAAGGACGCACCTCTAGCCTTTGCACAACCAAGCACGAACTGCAAGGCAGTAGGAAGTAATCCCTCGCCTCTGAAGTGAGGGGGTATATGGCTTTAGTTTTAAAAGGCCAGTCACATCGACCTATGGCACGACACCGTCATTGAGCTTATGCGGCTTTTAAACAGGAGCCAGGTGACCAGCCTGAAACCCACCAGACCCTGGTAATACCGCCGCTGTTTGTTCGCGACTGCTTACATGTTACGGTATGCCACAACTTATTCACAGCTAACCTTCTTCGGTGAAGGTATCCCCTATCCACAACCCGGGGACGCACCTGGTAGAATCCAGCTCTGCTTAACCCGAGGGTTTTCACCGCTCCACCTAGATGGAGTTCGTGGATCCTAAGCAGCGAAGCTATGTTTAGACGCTTCAATCCAACCATCATATTTGTAATGTCTTAATACCGTAGCGTAGCATGGATGTGTTCAATTCTCTTCTGAGCACCAGATATGAGAGATAATATGCCAGGACGATGATCTTCATTGAATCTTAAAGATACATCACACAACTTATGCAGTATACTGATGCCATCCACCTGCGAAGAGATGCAATACCCCGATGGAATTAGAAACCAAATGAAGACTTTGCGCAGTGTTTGGCTTTGTGACTCAGCAGAAAGGCTCCAGATGATTATGGAGAATGTTTGATTTGAGAAATCCATCATGTACCTTTTTAAGTAGGGGGCAAATGATACATGAGAAAAACTTTGTTAACCAAAAGCTTGACAGCTAGTGGATCGTGAGCGGTACGAAAGCATGATTTGGAATTCACTTAAATCTCAAATTTTCCCCGGGTTGTTAACCCTTACCAAATGATCTGGATTAGCAGACCACTCAGGGCATTTATTATGCCATATATAATTTCAGCACGTATCGTGCAGTTTTTACATTTGTCATGATCTCTCAATAAAGAAAACATACTTACTGTCTCGCACAGACTGCGTATTTCTATGCCTCGAACGAAGAGCAATGGCAAAACTGTTGCTTAACCTTGACCGGTTAATACGAGCAGCGACAATGAAACCAGCAAATTATGATGTTAAAAATACCAAGACAGATACAAACAGCGTAAGTATAACTCAATAAGAAACAGGATTTCAATAATAACGATCCATAGTCAAACCAAATGCACATAAAATAACCGATTTTATCAGTATAATCCGTCACCGTTTTCATTAAGCAAACCAGTAGATAAATTCCGGAGCATCAACATGTATCTCGAGATCACAGAGGAAGAACTGAGCGAACAATAAAAGCTGCTCAGAGTACCCGTTTAGGATCCACTCACAGGATCATTGGTCGGGACAAAGTGAAAGTAGAATCCCTGCGTCAAGTCAATCATCAAATCCGGTGTACACTCGGGAAGTTCAGCAATTTGTCGACCAGGAGAACCACCGAAGACACTAAATGGTGGGACTACAGTTTCCGGTGGTAGAACCGTGTTATCCATAATTGCACAGGCATCTTTCAGTACGCAACGGCGACCAATCACACAATTCTTTCCAATATGAACATAAGAACCTATCTGAGCCGCATTCACAATGGAATCCTCCTCGATGAACACATTATCGCCGATGTGTAGTGGAAAAAAAGCGACACCCTTGCTGAACTTCTTGAATGGTGGTCGAATGACAGCTTTCTGACTGATAACACAGTGTCGACCGATTCGAATGTTGGCCAAATCCCCTCGAATAATGCAATCTGACATTATTATTGTTTTACCATTCAACACGATGTTTTGGCTTCCACAAAGCACAGATTGTCGGCTTACTTTGTTCCCACTGGCAGTCTCGATATACTTGGCTTTGCAATAGTATACGTCCGGCAATTCCATCTGTGAATGGAGTAAAGACAGGATGGTTAATAAGTTCTTTTTTATTACACACCTAGATGTGATAATCAGTAGACGGGGTGGACCCCATAGTCATGAGGACCTGCTGTTCAGTGATTGAAATCGGAGACCTAAGCCCCGGGACTTGGAGTGGTGAACCACCGATAGGTCAGGCGTGGTAGTGAACCGGACGACAGCAGAGCTGCCTACCACCAGAGTCGGGTGGCAGTGGCGGGGCTCGAACCTCGGACCACAGGGTCCAAAGCACGCCGGTGACAGCGACTGAACCACTGCGCACAAAAGACTATTCGCTGAAACTAGCCGGGTACCTACCATCTCGGATCCATGAGGCATGTCTGTCTTAACTCGACAACGCTGGATGTTGTAGTTCTTCGAAAATTGTCACATCATAACCAATATTCAGTTTCAGTTTCAGTTTTTACAACCTTTAACCATGTACTTCGTGCGCCGGTTTTGGTTGGTCTTTTAGTTGCTCATTTGGATAAAAGAGCGAAATGAAGATTGGAATGTTGAAGCAAATTTAAGCGGAAGAGTGGAGTTAGAAAAATAACGAGTGTATGCAAGAGCGCCACTGTTTGCGACACCCAGCCATATCACTCAGTGTAGCTAACCATGGGTTACGTTCATCCCGAGGTCCCCAGCCAGGGAGCCTAACGGGGCCTATGTGACCTAGTCTCCTGGTTAGGGTTTTCATACCCTCATGCCAGGTCTTAGTTTGACCACCCTTGATTTT